TTGTTTGCAAACCTGGTTAAAATGTTTATATTTAATTATCTTAAAGATAACTCGTCCAGCTCAAACCTTTGTAGGGGTAAGAGGTGGGATCATCATCATCATCATCATCATCATCATCATCATCATCATCATCATCATCATCATCATCATCATCATCATCATCAGCATAATCCAAAAAAGAGAGGGTAATTTTAAACACACTTTTATGATTTTTTAAAGAAAATTCAAAAGAAAAACTTCACAGGATTTCTGATGAGCATTCCAAAACAAATTCAGAAGAGCATTCCACAGGTCATCTACAGAGGTTCAAATTATATCTGATTTCAGCTTATTAGCCAAATTATCTTATTTAGAACGGCACATTTGTTATTCGCCGCAACGTTTCAGCACTTGTTGGTGCCTTCTTATTTTTCTTCCTATTATTCTTCTTCTTCGCATTTCATTGCTTATCGTACGTATCTTATAGCGAATTCGTTTATTATTCAGTTCCAACCTGGATCGGGTATCAAGATTGGGTCTGCTTGTTTTCTGACAAACGTCAGTTTGTTCGTTTGTTTTTAAAACCTAGCTCAGGTTGAGGAATTCACTATTAGCTTATTGTGTGCTCTTTACTTCTAGATGCACTTCCACAGTCCATTAATTGAGAGCTTTCGATGCCTGTACCATTTTGCATCAGTATAATGTGGCAACCATGCTCTATGCCCAGGGAAGTCAAGAAATTTTCCGTCCCGAAAAATTCCTTGACCGGACCGGGAAGCGATCCAAGCCACCCTTCAGAGGAAAAATAGTTCGTCAAGTAGCTTGATCTAAAAAAAATGTGAGAATGCCACAATTAAAATTTTGTGCTGAAAGGTTGGGACGAATTTCAAACGTGTCGTTCTAAATTAGAGTGTTTGACTGATTATCAAAATAATTTTAAGAAGGATTCCAAGGTAATTCTTAAGGAATTAAAAAAAAATGCTGATTGTGAGGAGAGCAACTAGAAAATTTACTAGTTAGTTTAAGGATAATTCTGGAAATGCTAAATCTAGCATTCAGAATTATAAGGGTCTAACTGCGATGATCGATTTTCTTCATCCATTTTCTCTTTTTGCATGATCACAGTTCAGTGAACCAATCTTCCGAAATTACAACAATACATTGTGATAAAAAAAATGCAACATCAAACGCACCGATAAATGTAAATCAAGCCATCAAGGGAAATTAACGAAGCAGATATCTATCTACCTAATATATAAAAATGAATTTCTGTCTGTCTGTCTGTCTGATTCTTATAGACTCGGAAACTACTGAACCGATCGGCGTGAAAATTTGTATGCATGGGTTTTTGGGGCCGGGGAAGGTTCTTATGATGGTTTGAGAACCCTCCCCTCTCTGCAAGGGGGGGCTCCCATACAAATGAAACATAAATTTCTGCATAACTCGAGAACTAATAAAGCAAATGGAACCAAATTTGGCATGTGGAAGTAATAGGGAGAGTATCCCCTTAGATAAGAGGAGGAGGGGCTCTGTACAATATAGCATGCGTTTTTTAATCGGGGCATAAGCTCAAGCTAACATTAAATCCCAAGCAAGGCCGGGTACACTCAGCTAGTATGTAATAAACATATCCAGAATTGCCACTCTCTGTCTGTCGTTTATTCCTAATAGGGCAGGACTTAGCAAGTCTTCGAACTCGAGTCGCCTCCATCCACCTAAGAAGACTGCTATTCTCTGCTGAAGAACCGTCCAAGCCGGGCCGACGCGAGCACAAGCGCAAAATTTGTGGGAGACAGTTTCTGCTGTACGGTTGCCACAATGCGTACAGTGTTCGTCATCTACTCGCCGCATCACGAATAGCAGTTTGCGGTGCTCTATCTTCTCGTTCACCAACAAGTAAAGCTTCGTCCTCTGCGCTGAAGTAAGCTGCCTCGATGCAATGTTTCGCCATGTGCGTGACCAGTCACTTGCTGGACTGTTACGTTCCGCCCTTGGTAGCTCAGTTTGCTGGACGAAGTTGATCGGTGGAGGGGTTCTGTTGAATTTGGTGGGGAATTTGGGATAAGTTTGATAGGATTTGTCTAAGGCAGCCCTACTTTTGCTCAATAAAACAGATGAAATTATCCTTAATAAGTAAAAAAAATCTCCTTTAAATAGATCGGGTTGCTCCTTAAATGATTGATCAAAATACGTTAAAAATCTTAAAATGCTCAGTAAATATTTAAAGTACGCTCCCTAAAATAGAGAAAACTGTACATTAAGTATTTGAAAATGCTCCTTAGTACGCACCGCTTTGGACCATTTTGACGTGTAATTGTACCATATATCATAGGAAAAGCTGCTGTAGAATGGTTAATAAGTACCATGAAATCAGCTGAAATGTTCAGTAAATCATTGTGCGCATTTGTGCATTTTTACTGAACATTCCAGCTGATTTCATGGTACTTATTAACCTTTCTACAGCAGCTTTTCCGATGATATATGGTACAATTACACTTCAAAATGGTGCAAAGCGGTGCATACTAAGGAGCATTTTCAAATGCTTAATGTACAGTTTTCTCTATTTTAGGGAGCATACTTTAAATATTTACTGAACATTTTAAGATTTTTAACGTATTTTGATCAATCATTTAAGGAGCAACCCGATCTATTTTAAGGAGATTTTTTTTACTTATTAAGGAACATCGTCATTGTTTAATGATTCATTTACCTTTTTACCTTTGTCTAAGGTCGGGAAGATCTATTGAGATGGCTGGGCGGGGATTATCGTGGAAAAGAAGGGATCTATAAAAAGGAAGGGCTTCGATCTCTTGTAGGTGTCGGTTGATTGCGAGTGACTTACATTTCAGAGCTGGTAATTGCAGCTTCAGGCCTCCATTCTCTCTGCTGCGTGCCAGCTGCATCATTGGGACACAAACTTTGGTGCAGCGTCAGCGTGCGCAGAGAATGCAGCCCACTAGCGCATTCCAGTTCAGCGTTGTCATCAGTCGTATTGAATTTGCGAGAACAACACCCAGAAGTTTAACTACATTGACTGTTTGTAGCCACTGAGTGTTGATTGTGTTGCCTTCGCAAAGCCCAACATCGACGGCAACAGTTTTTCGCAAATTTAATTTTGCGCCAGCAGCTCTCTCGAAACGAGTGAACAGCCTATTTATCTCATCGATTTGCCTGGTCGATGTGACGATCACACTGATGTCGTCCGCATACGCCACCACACTGAAAATGTATTTTCGTTATTTCTCTGAAAACCGTTTCGTAAAAATGAATATCGTACATACAACACATCTTTCATAAATGGTACGAAACATTCGTTTTTCCTGTCATCTGGCGCAATGTCAATATTACGCCTTATTCGTATAATATACAAATACATCTTCGTACAATCAAACCAACAACTGCGCTTATTGTCTCCTAAAGTGCTGATTGTGTGTTGGTGATGGGACATTTTTTTTTAGAAATATTGTCGGTTTGACCAATACATGCGAGCTACAACAATAAATCAAATTACTCGTCGCGGTGGTTTTATGTTAAGTGGACCCTACACGATTGCTTTTATTGACAATAATCGTATTGTCAATACATTCAATATTGAAGTCAATATATCGAGATTGACAATATTTCTGAATTCACATCATCAATATTATTGTCAATAATTTCCCTTCGCATCAATATATTGATGCGTGTGAGGTTTGCTTTAGAGAAAAAAAAAATACATGCAAGCAGCAGAAAAGGCAAGCGAAATCGAATTACCGTTCCATGAGTACTTTTTATTTGCCTTTAGCTTTACCATTTCTCATAGCACAGATAGAGCGATGAATAAAGCACAGAGCTGACGATCGCAAGGTTCATGAGACGAGTCCGGTCTGAAACTTATTTTTATTTTTTTGTCATATTTATTCCTTCCAATGTTGAAGTTATTTTTACCCATCCTCACTAACACACTCCACATTTTTCGGTTTTCACAACCAACACTTGTGGCCCGCTGGTTGGGTGTAGCGATAGCGAGTGTGGCAGTTCTAACGAAACTAGCTTCATACAATGTAAAAATCCATTTCGTTGCAGAAAACAACGAATAAATTCGTAGAACAAACGAGCAATTTCGTTGTATAAACGAAATTTTATTTTCAGTGCAGCAGATCATTCCACACACTCTTTCGAGTCTGCACACTAGTGGATGTAGGTAGACAACGAAGAGGTGCATAGGTAGCGGATCCCCTTGCCGTACAGAGCGTTGAATTTCGAACGGACGAGAAAGGTGCCCATTGATCAACAGCCAGACCGGCCGGCGATTCGCGAGAGTAGAGCGATGAGATCCTGGTTGAAGCCGAGCGAGCGCATGGTTTCGAAGAGAAAAGAGTGCCGGACCCGATCGAAAGCGTGATCGAGATCAAAGCTGATTAACTTCCCGGCAAGGCGGTGGTGGCGGAGATGTGCTATCCGGTCCTTGAGAGCAAGAGTGGCTTGAGAGATATTGTGCTCTGAGTTGGAGGATTTCTGCCCGTCGCTTATTAACAAAAGAGAAAATTGACGAAGAGAATCGATCATCGCAGCAAGGCCCTTATGATTATGGACGCTATATATTGATATTTTTTTTTAGATGCCATGTTCATTTTCACAATTTTGAAAAACAGACCATTAACAAATATAAACCTTCAAATTTATTATAAAAAATGGTTATATTTATGCAATGTTTAGACTTAAGCGTAAAGTGTTATAAGTTCGGTTTTCGTAATATAACAATGATTTATCACACTTGTTCTGGTATCTTATAAACCGCTTATAGCACAAGAGACTAACCAGCTTGGGGCTGATAGGCTTTATAATAAAGTCAAAGAAGTAAAACCGTATGTCAAGGTTTATTGCTTTTTCCCGATTACTTTTTAAATTCCTGTTTGCTGGCCACACTGAAGAAAAAAATGATAGAATGGGAATGGTCCGAAAACTGCATGTTCGGTATAATTGGCGTTTGAAGCAAATCTGAGTTTAGTTTTCTACAATGAAAATGGATGAGTACTTACCCATACATTTGTTGTTGTCTGTAACTCGTAAGCCCTTCGGGCATTTGCACGTGAACGACCCAATCGTATTGGAGCAGCCATATTCACACACATCCTCGCCATACTCGGTACATTCGTTGATATCTATGGAATCGAATGAAGAATTGAAACGAACCATTATTCTCCTCAACTGAATAATTTGACAAATTTTTGCATTAAAGCTCGCTTTCCCAGATGCAACCACAACATCAAACCGAATAGTTTATCACACCTTTTAACGCACCTGAGGAGGTGATGCAACAAGATTTCTGACTCGAGATAGTCGAACTAGTGCCGGAAGCAGGAATGAATGAAAAACAGCAAATCCTCCAATCCCGTTTCTTATCTCGTGACAACTTGACTTCAGACATCACTTTGTCACTGTGTTCAAAGACGGCGACAACGGTAGAGCTAGGTATATCATTCCTGCTGCAACGAGTGCATCAAACTGTCTCGCTCCCTTCAATCACCTTTGTTCCAACTCCCACCGCAAAGAAATGACGGTTGTGAAACGGATGATTTACAACTATCTTTCACGGATTTACCGTGTTTTTGTGAGAAAAGTAGAATTTCAACACAATGTGACCGCGGGATAAGATGTCCTGCTGGTAATGTTATTGCCGGGTAGTTTATCCTCCACCCACCCAGCACTCCCAGCGCCCAGTCAGGCACCATTTCGTCATTCTTCTTTCTCCACTGGAGTGTCATTTTGTGGCACACGGTCTGCCATGATTCCTGACAGTGATGGAATCTTGAAAGCTATCTCTGTTTCCTCCCTCTCTCCGATTTCACTTCTTTCTCGCTCACTCGCTTATTCGATGAAGCACTCTCCACTCCACTGGGGGTAGACCGCAATTTGGTGCAAATAAATAATTCATAACGCGGTTGATGCTTTTAACCTGCTGATTCGATGCGCGGTTCCGGAGATTTTCATGCGAAATGTTGTTTGCGGTCGGTGGATGATGCTCCATCCGATGAACATTTCAGAGTTGTGCTAATGGAGGCGCATGGTTACTGACGATCTTTATTGGTGAATTATAATTTGTATACTATTGTCGACACTCCATCACACCCCTATTTGAGACTTGCTGTTCGTCCTCACCACTTCAACCCAAGGAGTCAGCGAAAGTGACACTCGTAGAAACTGAATTCTGTGGTTCAGTCACCGAGGAAAACAAAACCACAAGCGGAAAACCGTCAATTCCATAAAAGTCTGTGAATGACTGCGGTTTTTACGCCACTACCCTCTTAGGAGGTTGTAGCCAGCGAGCGATATGGGCTATGTAGGTAGGTACTTCTCCGAGCAAAAACGGCCAAGACCAAGAGTTCTAGAGCAACACGTGAAAAGGGTCTAAACGTCGGTTTTTCTCATATAAGGACTCCTTCGCACAAACCGACACCTGCAGGGCGTGTTGTGATACGTGGGCAATCGACGTTCAAAGTAGTTGCTTACGTTTGGCTTGTAGGCCCTTTTCACATATTGCTCGAGACTTTCGTACGCCTAAAAGTGGTGTCTGCTTCTATGGTATAGGTAACTCAATCAGGAAATGTGGTCAGCGGGGTGTGATAGGGTTCGCAAAAACGACGAAATATGTTTAAGGGAAAAGCATTGTCACTGCTAGTAACATGATTCTATAACGAGAAGAATGAAAAAAAAAATTGAAGTAGAATAGAAAAGAAGTTTCATTAGCAGAATAGCAGAGAAGCGGAGGCACTGGAGGAAATCCAATGGTGTTATCTAGGCGGATGATAGTTTGCAGCGTAAGTGGATTTGTACATGAACATTTCGAACAGATCGCTTGTGAAAGAAATGAGTTGGTTTGTATGGAGCACGGTTGGGATTCAGATCCCTGTAAATTAATTTTGTGACCTTCATTAGACAGTGAATTACAATCGATCAAAATTTTCAAATTAAATTTCAAAAACTCTAAGAAAGTCTAGGTTACGTCTAGGTCTAGGTCTCCTTACATGTTAATGCCACTCACCAACGTCATAAGGCTAGGACCAACGGCTTTACCTCTCTTCTGAAGTAATAGGAGACCAGAGATTTTCGCCTTTAAAAAACTATCTTCTCATCTGTTAAACGAGGTCTATCATCTAAATTGACAATCAAAAGTACCATAGATTAATACCGGTTTGAGGATCATCAATATTGATCCTATCAATTATTAGTTCTTTTGTATAATTATCACGGTTATTTGCGATAATAACTGATTTACAACAGGAATTGAACTTTCTTTGAAACAAAAAGTAGAAGCGTCTGTATCTAGGGACACGAACGGAACGTTGACGTGAGACCGTGATTGGTCGGTACTAGGGATGTCATTAAGGTGAATTGGTAACTGAATCTACATTGAACACCCTAAAGGCAATTTCAGCCAGTTTTCTATTCCATGTTTAACACAAATCTTCACATCACTTCACCAAATATCAAGCACTATTATGAGGTTTAGCGGAGCACGAACTTAAAATTCCTGTACTAGTGTAATCTACAACTTTTCTACGCCTAAAAAGAATAAAATTAGACAACTTAGTGTCTATTTAGCAGCTGCGAAAAAATGTTTCCAAAAGCTTCAAGCTCCTCTAAATACTTCCAACATTAATGAGCCATGCCAAGCAATTGCAGGAAAATTTACGACCAAACTTCATCGGCACCCAGCCGCGGAACAAATTACGATCGGTATTTACGCGTAATCACCCCCCTTATCGCAATCGCACTCCTTCACTCAAACAGAAAGGCTTAACGCTAGCGCTCGTAAAGAATACCCTCGTAATGACCATCAATATTCCCACCATAAAAAGCGAAAGCATACCAATTTCGAAGGACCATCGTCTTCCGCCGACCGTCTCCAGCGCCACCGCAATCCACACACCCGCATAAATTAATGGCCACCGATGAAAAGAGCTCTAAATCTTCCGAGGTCTATTCTTCCACCGGTTCTCGGCTCAGACGCCACAGATGGCTTATAAATCATCATTCTTCCCCCTGAAATGGCATGAAAGAAGCCATCTTCTTAATTGATTTTTTACATGCCGACAGCTCTTGTTCCTTTTTTTTTAGGACTACCATTTTAGGACTGTCTGACCAATCCCCTGCGCCGGCGAGGATGATATATTGTGAATTAAAAATTTGATTCTTTACCATAAATTATTTCACACAACGACTTTGGCCCCCTCATTGAGAGGGTGGGGGTTGAAAGAATGATGGCAGCAAAATTGTAATTTATTAGATCCGACTCACCGGAAGGGAATATTTTTTTAATGCCACATCGAACGGACGACGGCGGTTGGTGGCATGATGGCAATTTGTACCTCTCCACCGCACTACGGTGTGACAGCGTTCGGTTGATAAATTGGTTCGGAAAACGAGGTAATAAATTTTTATTTTTCAGTCCTATTGACTAGAAGAGCGGGTGACGGTGATTTTTGCATTCCAACACTTCGACCGGTAAATGAGCTTTCTATGGAAAATTTGAAATTTTATGGAAAATTTACACCTTGGAAGCGAGGTTCAGAAAATTTATCATGAATTTCCCTCAGGAAGCCATTACTTACCGACACAGCGTCCGTCCACCATTTTGAATCCCTTGAAGCAGGAGCAAACCCGCGTAGCGTTATGCAGCATGTAGCACGCTTGCTGGCAATTATGCTTCTTTCCACACAAGTTTTTGTCATTGTCTTGGTTTCCCGGAAATATCGCAGAATTGCCGTCCGCTGTGGTTACCTCGTTTAGCGAAAACGACGCCATTGACGACGACGACGATGATGATGATGACAGCGACAATGAAGGCTTTTTAATCCGCACACAGGAAGGCCGCTTACCGATCCAGCGGGATTTGCGGCAGATTAGGTTCGAGTTATTTCCGTTTGCATTAGGATAGCGTAGCTCGTACCGCAACCGGCAGTGGTATTCGGCTTCCAGGAAGGAGTTCTCCAGACCGTACACGTCGTTTCTGCGGATGAAATGGAAATTAAACTGGATGAAGAAAATAGAACAGATAACCATTGTTTATTGGGTTGGTTGGGAATGAAAATGGGTTGAGTGGCAGTCAACAATGCACAGAGTTTGGGGAGTTTTCCAGAAATGGTCCCTAGTGTTGCAACAAGTTGAGCCAAATGTTGAATGGGTTAGCTATTGAACTGGTCAAACAACGAAAAAATAAAGAAATCTTTTGATTTCACCTCTCCGAATTCCATGATACTTCGTATACACAAATTAACAATTTATAACATTCAATGTTAGTTGCATTTCGTATCATCATCTGCAGAGAATGATATAAATTGACCATCCAGACAATGCAAAGATTTTTTATCTTTTTTTTTCGTGTTCTGTCTATACGCTTTCCACTAGAGAGGGTCTAGTATAAGAGAGGAGCGGACTGATCCAAACGAACTGTCAAATCCAGAGCCAATCGAGCAGCGCCTATCTTGATTACATTGGCAGTGTTGCTAGAAAGCGCCTAGGCATAGGTTGCTAAGCCAGTCTGTTCTTAATTCGCTCCTCTCTTATACTAGACCTCCTCTACTTTCGACTTTACCACGTAGCTCGTGGTTTGAGTCCAGTCAACCGTTGTTTCGTCATAATTAATTTCTCTCAAGCTTATAAATTTGTCGAACCTCTTAACGGAATCCCTTTATGAAGAGCTTTGAGTGTGTTGACTTATTTCGCTCCTCTCTTATACTAGAACATCTCTACTTTTGACTATACCACGTAGCTCGTGGTTCGAGTCTAGTCACCAACCATTTTTTGACGTAGGACTACGTCTGTGATTTCTATATGGGGGTACACTTTATGAAAACCGAAAATGGAACATGTAACAAAATTGTGAAAGATTTTGAACGTTAATAACTCAGCTGCCCCTGGTTCAATTTCAAAAAAATATATCAGCAATATTTCTACGCATCGATAGCAATGCTTCCGACTGTTGATTTTCAACAAGAAACTATTGAAAAAGTGGTAAATGTCTAGCATTGTACATGCTTATGCTGCTTTCCCAACACAGTCATCAGAGAATCATTCCTAGACGAAACATGTTGATGTAGCATTATGACGAGGCTCGGTAGCTCAGTGGTTACCGTTTCTGTTTACTGAGCAGAAGGTCGGGGTTCAATCCCAGGTCCGTCCCCATCCTTGCAATTTTTCACTTTGCCTTATCCTATCCCCATTAGATTTGAATAAAAATAAATTCTGCTTTAACCGAACGCATCACATACCACATGAATCCTGATCAAAAAATAACCTACCTCACTAACACAATTATCCTTTTCGAGACAGCCGTGGAGATGTTGAGCAATTCTCGGTCTCTAGTAACAACCGCACTGTGCAAGTTGATTAGTTCTGATCATTCACGGAGGAGCAACTAAGAAGATCGGATAACGTTAACTCGACGGCAAACATTGTGACGGCACAATAGTGCGAAATAGGTTAGTGAAGCCATCACAAAAGAGGAAATCAATAGAGAATTGCTTTTCACCCTTCTGCTTCTAAGCCCCTTACAGTCGTTGTCACAGCAATGAAAACTAGAATCGCACTGCCAGAGTTGCTTCCACTCACTTGCTATATTTCCTGAATTTTGAAATCATTAGATGTTATAATGAATTTTTTTACTTGTTAGATACAAGAAGAGATTGAAAGGCAAGTGTTTGACTCATAAAACCTGTCAATTTCGCTACCAGAGATCGCTATCAGTGATCTTATGATTCGTGAGCGTTCACTCAGAGTGAGCGCTCGCGAGTCAGAAAATCGCTGATTGTGACTATCTGAAAGCAAATTTGACAGGTTTCATGTGTCAAACACTTGCTTTTCAAACTCTTCTTGTATCTAACAAGTACAAAATATGATTATAGCAGCTAATGATTTCAAAATTCAGAAAATCATGTTTTTATAGCAAGTGAGTGGAAGCAACCCTGCGCACCGCTTTTGGTTCTAGGGCACTTGCTGGTTGCAATTTTAAGATCAGGATTCACTGTGATCCGATCAGTGAAAGCAGCAGAAATTTCCTTCCCAACTCTCTTGTGGAATCTTTTAATGACTCTGATAAGGGCCAGTTTTGTTAGATTTCGACGGAGAAATTAAGAGCGTTCACCACGAATACGACGAGCCAGCTGAATGTCCTTTGGCATAATTGTAACACGCTTGACGTGGATGGCGTACAGGTTGGTATCTTCGAACAGACCGACCAGATGGACTTACTGGATTCCTGCAACGGCCGAGTTCTGGAACCGCAGATCGGTCTTGAAAGTCCTGGGCGATTTCAGGAGGAGCCTTTCTTCCGGTGGACTTACGAGTGGTCTGCTTGGTATGAGCCATTGTGCTTACGATGCAGATACGATAAATCGAACACGTTAAATGAAAATTTCAACCGCTTTCTCCTCTATTTAATAACATACTTTTGTTATGTTCAACCAATCATAAACGATGAAAGAACAAAAATGCAACAACTTGCAAGAAGAATTTAGTTTTCGAGTAGGTAAAAAAGAGGTATTCATGGTCAAATAAGCATCATTCTTTGTTAGACCGCCAAGCAGGTCAGTATGTATTGAGCTCGCTCTCTAGAGTTATATGGAAAGTTTTTCGCATCCATTTCCTGTCAACCGTACCCGAAGGCAGCTTAAACAACATAAACATTACCGGGACGGGGCAAGGGAGACAAAGGACTCGGCGAAGGAGGAGCCAAGCGTCATCGTAAGGTGTTGCATGATAACATACAGGGTATTTCCCAGACCGTCGTCAGGCTGGTCGTGATAATGCGTATCTCCGGTCTGATCTACGAGGAAGCCCGAGGTGTGCTGGAGGTGTTGATGGAAAACGTTATTCGTGACGCCGTTACCTACTTTGAAGGCGCCAAGACCGTTACCGCAATGTACGTAGTGTACGCTCTGAACGTCAGGGACGCACCCTGTATTGTTTCGGAGGTTAAGCTTCGTTCATTTTCCCTATCTGAAACGGCCCTTTTCAGGGCCAATAACTAATTTCAAAAGAGATGGTTTAGGAGTTCTACTAAACTTGGCATGAAACCAGCAAAATGGTAGCAACCAAGCTTCTAATCCTGAAGCAACTGGGCCGACTCTATGAGTGCCCATTTCTCGTAGCGAAGTTCGCTGCCTTTCCAATCACTGGGTAAACCCGTCTCCAGCAGTAGCCGTAAAAGGAAGGATTTATGGTGCCTATCCTTGCTGCATACAGCATAAATATTTACGTTTTTTGACAAAACTCAGGTTATTATGACAGATTCTGACGCAGTAGGTCTCTTTTCTTCAATCGCATTGTTTTCAAAGATCTAAACGTCATGAATACCTGAGATTTGTCAATGATGTAAATATTTACACGTAATGCATTGAAGAATTACATTGAGAAGATAGAAATTCAAATTAACTCTTAAGCCAGGTGCAGATTGGCAACGATGATTAATGCCCTGAGTGTATTTAAAGTGTATGAGTTATACTTTTTACTGTCGAGGCGAACGTTGCGAACAAAAAATTAAGTCCACGCACGATCCACCAACACTAGTTGCCTCCGAATAATTTGAAGCCATGTCCAGGTGCAAATATTTCGGCCCTTTTCAGGGCCACCATTTTCCAAAAGAGTAAGTTTCTGAACATGTCCCAACTAAAATTGACATCAAAAGGTTGTTTTCAGGGCAACCATAGTCATACTAAAGAATATAAAGAGAGAGAACCCCGTAAATTCCTATTCCTACACAAAACACAAGCTCCTGCTGCAGTTAACAAATAACATTATATAAGACCACGTAGTCCTAAGTCACCATTGCGTACAACCCCATAGGGCTGTCCCTTGTAGTTTTCGTCATAATTAATTTCTCTCAATCTCAACCACCACCAAGTGGTGTTGAGTACTTGGCACTGATGAAGTCTGGAAGTAGTAGACGAAATACGCGTATTTGTCAACAGATAAGCAATTATAACAGAATTAAAAGGAAATAAACCAACACACTCTAAGCTCTTCATAATTTCTCTCACTTATACAATCCACATGTTTTGGTCTCTAATTTTCTTGCATTGGACCGCTGCTCGCTATATCTCATCCTCTATTCATGCGGTCTCCACTAACATCCTGCGATGATAAATCACACATAATTGAAAGTAAATCTTACATTCCCCGGTGAATGAACCAAGTTTGTGCTGGAATTCGACCATTTTGACCCACGCCTAATTTTTGAAAATGGTGTATGCGATAGTTTATCATTATTTATCGATAGAAATCATAGTACGGAAGTGGCTATGAAAAGAATTCGTTAATTAACCTTAGGGAGCATCCATTAATAACGTAATGCGAAATTTTTCCTAAATTAACCCCCCTTCCTCCTCAGACCCTCCCCCTTATTCAATGAACGATGTAAAAATAATCGTGAATTGAACCGCACAAAACGACTGAAGCTCGGACATCTCGGATATTCTGCGGACTACAGTTTTCATACGATCATAGCCAAGACTAACACCCATTTGGAGTTCGAGCAGCCATTTCGTTTTCGGTGCTCGAAGTGTGCTTGACATCGGTGAGTAGCCAAGACAACGACGGTGCTCGGCACCAGTGGTGAAAAACGAAGACCCCAGACTCGTAACGTCAAGGCGTGGTGAAACGAGCTACGCATCAATCCACTCGAATCTCCACCAACGTTGGGGACGTATTTACCCCATAGAATCCCACGCGCGAGTTTCGTGTTGGTCACCAATCCCACTTTGGCTGGCTTGTCCGGATCGGCTCAAGAACATCCAACGAGGGAGCAGCTGGATACAGGAAAATAAGGTCAGACCTTTCTTTATTATACGATTGCGCAACGTATGAAGATTTGCTAAGTTTAAAATTAATTTGTTCAATCCGCTAATTATTGTTAGCTCGAACGTGATGTCACTGGTCAGTAGCCAGGTTTGCCTGAGTTGAGCTGAACCACATATAATATTGGACATTGTGAAACTTTCCAAATTGCTAGTT